AGCGTCGGAATAATTATGTTGCAGGATATATTTTGCCGATGCCGAATTAGATCGACCCGGGGTCAGAAGGCAACCGAGCAAAATCCGCGGTTAACTCGCTCGAGAAGGGAAAATCACGGCGGTGCCTAAATGTAGGGTGAACCGGATGGATAAGCGTAGCACAAATTGCACGATCGTGCGGTGCTTCTGTAGAATTCCTAATGCTTCGACATTTACTTTGATCGGCATCAACACAGGATTTAGTCAGAACCAAATAATATCGAGCACAAGAATAGCTATTGCTAGAAAACCGCTTCGTGTTTTCCCATGCGAATTAATATCTATGAATGTAGGAAAGTGTATCAATGCATATATTATTGTATTTACCCACACACACACACACACGCAGTCACTGTGTGTTATATGAATCGCAAAATTATTTTCAATGAATCCTGAAACATGAGTTTTATAGAAAAAAATGTATTATATATAAAAGTTTTTTGCTTTTTCAAAGAGGACATATCCTCTTAAGCATGATTTTTCTCTAGGACTAGAGGTGCTTCCAAGATTTTAAACTTGTTTTTGTTTTTTTAAGACAAAAATTATATATTTTTTTAAACTGAATATTTTTACATTTAAAATGACAAAGATAATTGATATATGAAAGAACCAAACGTATATATAATTGTATTTAGAAAAAATCTTGCAATTCTGGAAATTCTTTCATTTAAAAAAAAATAAAAAATAAAAAAATGATATAATAATAATATAAGGTAAAGTACAGACGCATCTCTCGCACGCGCGACGAGTATTGAAACGCATGATCGGAAAAGGGCGGAGGGTAAAATTCCCACACAGAGCTCCCGTATAAAGAGGTGATTAAATATTTATCCAGAAGGTGCCGGACATCTGTCGATATGCCTTGTTGCACTTTATTTTGGCGCGGTATATTTGTTTAACATTAACGCTGTACGCGCGGGCGCGCGCTCTCTCTCCCTAATTCGCCTCGTCGTCGTCATCACTTCTGCAAACAACGGCACACATGCTACGGTCTACTCGAGGTTTGGTCCGTGGCCAAATACGAATTATTAGCGTTGTCTTTGGCATGTATCACGGCAAGCATGCTTATAATGTAGCCGACAATCGAGATAATTTTATTAAAAAAAAAAATTATGAATAATATCCTTTTTTTATTTAGATGTTTTTTTTTTAATTACAAAACGCTACAAAGAATTAATTAAATCTAAGTTTCTCCATTCATTTTGTTAATTTTTTAATTTCTATTTTCTGCACATCTCTGTATAAAAGTGTGTAGAGAAATGAGTCACGCTGCTGCATTAAATAAGTAATTG